GCAGTCGTTACAAAGAGAGCTGCGATATCAAATACTTTCTCACGAGTTGATAGGTGGTATAAAAAAAGCTTAATTTAATTAAAGACAACCATACTTCAAATTTTTGGGAGGGAGATTTTTAAACGAGACTGATAACACAGTAATTCTCGAAAACAGGCACATTATCAAGAAATGGAACTTAGCTTTCAGACCAAAAAAACTAAGACTATAACAAAAATTGAAAGTGTTTTTGAACCAGTGATTGACAAGTCTAATTTAGCGGGCAAGAGGAAAAAACATCGCCGACAAAAAGACATGAAGTCATTATTCATAGATTTAGACAATTGGACAATGTTTGTTGTGACTACCTGGGAGGGGATTCATAAGGTAGCTCCGATATCCAAATTTTTAAGTCTGAAAGCTCTCTAGATCCATCTCTTCATTCAACGTTGGACCATCAACCTTATAAAAAAACCCAATGCATATCGCCAATGGCTTAGCTGCAGACCTGATATCAGTAGAGAGCTTTTCGCAGAAGTATCAGATGAAAAACAGCTCTTGTATGCAATTAAAAAGTACTCCAGAAAAAGCCCTGCTTGGCCTGCACAAGTTAAAATCTCCCTCAGATTTCATCACTCCATTCAGACAGATTTCTCATCACGAATCCCTGATAGCGAAAACTACCGAAGATACTGCCTCTCTAATTCTTTGATGGACCCTAACATGATAGAGACAGAATTGTTTTCAGCTGAAATGGAGGCGCGACATTCAATCAATTTGCAGATAGGTAATCAGTAATCGACACAGAAACCAGGGCAGCTGCAAACTCCTTCCACAATGAAATCAACAGAGCATAGAAATTTCCATAAACTCAAACTGTCGAAATTTCTTAAAATTAGATTTTTTTTGTTTCAAACCACCGGGAACTCACCCAATTTTGATTTTGTTTGTTGTTATCAATTTACCTCAAATAGTTTTCATTTTTACCAATTTTACCATTCTGAATGGAACGAGATGCAGAAGTGTTCGGAACGATTTTGTTTAAGTTATTTTGTATAAAAAAATCAATTGTACAAAACTCTTATGAATTCCTTGCTGCCCATAGTAAGCTTTGATTCTTTTGTTTCAAATTTCTGTCGCCCATGGGTTGAAGCGAGAATGGATTATAATTGTTATATTGGCTTCCATTCAGTGCTACAGAAGTAAGTCTCCGTTAGGAACATTGTGAATTTTTTTGTTAGTTAGGTTACTTTTATTACTTGCAGTTCTTAATTAGATATCTGCCTATTGAATCCATAACACAGTGATACTCGAAAACAGGCATATTATCAAGAAATGGGACTTAGCTTTCAGACCAAAAAAACTAAGACTATAATAAAAATTGAAAGTGTTTTTGAACCAGTGATTGACAAGTCTAATTTAGCGGGCAAGAGGAAAAAACATCGCCGACAAAAAGACATGAAGTCATTGTTCATAGATTTAGACAATTGGACAATGTTTGTTGTGACTACCTGGGAGGGGATTCATAAGGTAGCTCCGATATCCAAACTTTTATGTCTGAAAGCTCTCTAGATCCATCTTTTCATTCAACGTTGGACCATCAACCTTATAAAAAAAACCCAACGCATATCGTCAATGGCTTAGCTGCAGACCCAATATTAGTAGAGAGCTTTCTGTAGAAGTCTCAGATGAAAAACGGCTCTTGTAATGCAATTAAAAGACTTCCAGAAAAAGCACCGCTAGGCCTGCACAAGATCAAATCTTCCTCAGATTTCATCACTCCATTCAGACAGATTTCTGATCAAAAATCCTGATAGCGGAAACTACCGAAGATATTGCCTCTCTAATTCTTTGATGGACCCACACATAATAGAGACAGAATTGTTTTCAGCTGAAATGGAGGATCGACATTGAATCAACTTAACGATAGTTCATCAGTAATCGACACAGAAACCAGGGCAGCTGCAAATTCCTTCCATAATGAAATCAACAGAGCATAGAAATTTCCATAAACTCAAACTGTCAAAATTTCTTAAAATTGGTGCGAAATTAGGTTTTTTTTTTGTTTCAAACCACCGGGAACTCACCCAATTTCGATTTTGTTTGTTGTTATCAATTTACCTCAAATAGTTTTAATTTTTACCAATTGTACCAATCTGATTTATAAGAGATAGAGAAGTGTTAGGAACGATTTTGTATAAGTTATTTTGTATAAATAAAATGAACTGTACAAAACTCTTATGAATTCCTTGCTGCCCATAGTAAGCTTTGATTAATTTGTTTCAAATTTCTGTCGCCCGTGTGTTGAAGCGAGTATGGAGTATAATTGTTATATTGGCTTCCATTCAGTGCTAACAGAAGCAAATCTCCCTGCCGTTAGGAACATTGTGAATTTTTTTGTTAGTTAGGTTACTTTTATTACTTGCAGTTCTTAATTAGATATCTGCCTATTGTGTGGATACTCTAAGTCTTTTGGACTTCGTGATACTTTTCTAATTGAGAAGAAAAGCGACAATTTGATTTCACTTATTTCTACTTCATAATTTTTAACAGTAAGTCAATTTTTGAACAGTGTATCATCCATTTAATTAGGGTGGGAATTGGTCGATTATGATTATTTTGGGCGTTGAACACTGATTTACACGTATTATTGCTATCGTGTCGGATGTAGATGCAGCGGAGCCTGTCCTTCTTGGCAAAACCTTGTCACAAAATTTCTCCTGTTACGAACTGTCGCCTTTTCGTGTTGTCACCTCTTACCTATTGTCGCCCTAGAGGTTTCCTGTCATCGTTTTGAATTTCATCGCAAGGTTGAATTGATGTCATTTTTGCGAGTTTGCCATGAATAGCGTGCGTTTTATTATTTTTTAAAACCGACTTGTCAGAACCGATTTCACCCGGTTCTGAAATCATTCTTAGAATGAAAAGCTCTTAAAGTTTTAGATGTTTATTTTTGTAATCAACAATTATCCGGTTCTTTCTCTTATTCCATTATAGTTTGGCTGATTTTCCGCCCAGCCCTACTTAAAAAACATTTCTCTCCCTCTCCCTCAAGTTATATATGTTTTGTTAAATAATAACCAGCCGTTTTTTTGTTGTTACGAAACTTTGAAACTTAAGTCTGATCAGTAGCGGATTTTTAGGGGGGGGGGGGGGAATGTTAGAATTTTTGGTCAAAAATTTTTTTAAAATGCCTAAAAACGCGATTTTGGCCTGTTTTTCAAAAAGTCCACGCAAAAAAAAATCCAGATTTGTCCCTGATTTTGAAACTTGCCTTTAAAACTCAATCAAATGTCCACCAGTTTGTTCATGTTCAGTCTGGCAGACTCAGCAATAAAAAAAAGTTTTCCATGAAGCAACGTAAACGTTTACGAAAATGTTTTGTTGCTTACACCATCTGAATCGTTGTTTTTTACTTGAGGAGGTATTTTTGATCAACAAACCTTTTTTAGTTCATTTTTAGGTTGCATTTTTCATCCCAACTCCCAAAAAAAATTAACTTTGATGCATGAAAAAAATCTCCCGTTTTGAAACAATGCATCGTTTTTATGTTTCAATCTCATCAATAATTTTTTAAATGTTCATTGTGCTCGCATCCAAGTTTAGATGTAAGTAATCGGTTATAACGGATTACTTTGATGATTTTTTGAAAATTATAATTGATTATAATTACCAAAACTAGAAGTTTAAAGGATTTCTAATCGATTATAATCGTGATATTTTCCAAAAGGTTATAATTGATTACTGTTGTTACAAAAAACCCTTAAAATCAAATATAATCGATTATAATTGATTATAATCTCTTATTTTGCCAAAATTTTGTCAATTTAAAACTATATTCGAAATATATCTTATAGGTTATTATTTTTGTGTCAAAAAGAAAATCTCTAAAAGAGAAATCTTCTGAATACTTTGGTTTATCTGATAACGAAGTTTTATCACGAAACAAAAGTTTCATAGAGATTCTTTCTTATTAGTGGAAAGGAACCCGCGGTAGATGAAAAATAAATTTTTTGAATCAATCATGAAACTAAATCAATTTGCTGATGTTTTGGTGGTTAAAAAAGCTTAAAATATTCATCACAAAATAACTCTAATGGGGAAGAAATGAAAAAAAAACCTTATAAATTTGAAATGATTGGAAAATTTTAAAAACATTTTTGTCGTTTTTCATAGAAACCAACGTCTACAAATAGCACAAAATATAAGCAATTTAGATGCACCTTCGAAGACAAAATGGACAAACAAAAGGGATTATAATCAATAATAATCAATTATAATGGATCTTTGTGCAAAACTAATGAATTAGAAAATTGAATAAAAAGAATGGATTATAATAAATTATAATTGAAGATTATGGTATCGAAAAATCGACGAATGAATAATCGATTATAACTAATTATAATTTGATTTTTAAAAGAGAGATTTATAATTGATTATTAATTAAGTAAAATCGGTTTTTTCTCAATTTTAGTACGACTGGTACTAAAATTGTGATATAATCGATTATTAACGCTTGGAACTGGAAAATTATTTATCATTATACAATTAAATTGCAGAATTCCAAAACGAGGTTTGCTTACTATGTTTGCTTTTTGTGGCAAAAGTAAACATTGTGGAAGATTGTATAGGTTTTTAAAATATATTTAAGTTTTTTTTATGATGCAAGGTTTTGTTGAAGATTATTGATATACAATCAAAATGAACCCCCTTCCCCTCCTACCCAAAATAAAATATGATGCAAGCCTCGTTTTATTTTTTTTAAAAAAATTGATTAAAAATATTCCACAAGGTCCCCTTTAGCGTGGCAAGAGTAAACTTTGTGGAAGATTGTTAGGTTTTTTTTAAAATTTGTATCGGTTTTTTTATGAAGCAATGTTTTTTTCACTTCTATTTTTCATCAAAGATCAGTTTTGTTCACTTTTAGCGTGTTTTTTTTTATATCAAAAATCAGTTTTGTTCAAGTTTAGCGTGGCTATTTTTCTAATTTTCATCGAAAATCACCTTTTGCTCGTGTTTAGCGTGGCTGAATTCACACGTCCTCTGGACACAATGATTCCCCTGCAGGTGAGGCACACGGGAGAAGTGAAGTGGAACTCCCCCTCAATGAGACATGTCTCCTGCCCCATCAGGGTCAAGTTCTTCCCGTACGATCGACAGAAGTGCAAACTGGGTAAGAAGGAAAATAATTTTATATGTAACGGGGTTGACTTTCATAAACCGAAAAGACTACTCATACAATTCCATGATTTTGCTTCCGAAAAATATCAAAAGAATCACCTAGCATAGTGGTAAGGCAGGCGTTCACATTGAAATCGTCAGATTGTGTAATCGATCCCCTGCCATGGCAATGATAGAGTGTGAGGACGAGCCCTCACTTGACCTCTAGCTTCAGGTCAACCACAGCTTGACTGATTTCGTCTGCAATAGTGGTACCACGTGAAAGTTCTAAACGCAAAAAAAATGACCTTGGCTTGCAAAAAAAGAGCTTTGCTCAACAAAATTTGCATTTCACAGGAATAAATTATTATAATAATAAAATTCTCATATTATGAGAATTGTAGGTAACAATATATTTTTTAATAAAACAGTTGTTTGTTTCATCAAAAATTTTGGAAAAATTTCGGAACCTCACCTGATTTCCTATTTTCTTTTCTGACACCTTTTGTTTTGACACCAACTACTAAAAATTTCTAAACTTGCAGCTTTGAAATTAATTTTTCAGAACCTAAGCACTGCAAAAAACCACCCTCAGTAGCCACCCACAAAAAAATCAAGAAGAAATTTTTCATCTATAAGAAATTAAAAAAACAAATAAATGATTGCTTCAGACCTTGTTTCGTGGACTTATACGAGTGACAAACTGCGTTTAACAACCAAGACCCAGGCGGGATTCGATCTCTCATCCACTCATGACAGCGGAGAGTGGAGTGTGAAGAATACTACTTTTAAAGAGAGTCTTGTCTATTATGAGAAGAGCAATGCGTCACATTATCACTTGCAGTTCAGAATAGTGATTGAAAGGTCTGCATTTTTCTCATAACAAAATTAAAAAGTAAATATCGCAAATTTGAAACACTACATTTTTGTTATCTCGCAAAACTTTGCCGACATGTTTTTTACGTCAACAAAATTGTTTTCTGAGCTATAAAGGCCCTATTTTGACCAAATTTTTTGCGCCGGAGGCGAACTAGTGAAAAAATAGGCTAAAAAAGGTGCTTTAATGCACTTTTTGGAAATTTTTGACCTAAAAAGTCACGTTTTATCTGCGCGCGCTTCCATCTCAAAATTAAAATATTTTGGTGCCAAAGGCGCCTTTAGAAAAATTTTAGGGTCAGTCATCCAAAAAATAGCTATCTCAAAATAGTACAAAAGGGGGACCCTTTGGGTCTGCAGGGGTCGAATCCCTGAAGGGCGGGGGGAGGTTCGTCCCCCCCCCCCTAAATCCGCTGCTGGGCACAACAGCGGTTCTCCATGAAACTCTGAATAGCGCGTATGTCGGCCCTTTCCCTTGTTGATGAATCATACTAACTTATATTTTGTTTATAACAGGCGTTCTTTCCACTAATACGCTAATTCTTTTTCTCCGCTTCCTCTTTCTCATTATAGCCCTATCCCTCATTTGAACTTCCTTGTCATAAAACTAAAGGCCCAAAACCCGGGTTACCTGTCCATGGAAGTCCATCCCTGGAGTCCATAAAAATCATCAAATGAGTTCCTTGTCTAGAACGAACCTTCAAAAAAACTTTAAAACATGGTTGTTTCAAATATAATGTTTAATCTAGTAAAACATAATTTTGAAATTTAATTTAAAAAGTTTTAAATTTATTTTTTTTATATCTAGATACCCTAAGTCTAATAAATGTAACTTCAAATTAAATGAGGAAAAATCTATCATCTATCTTTGTTTGTTTAACGAGGAAAAATCTATCAGCAACTTTGTTATTTTAAACAGACGTCCCCTCTACTATCTTTTCTACCTGTTCGTCCCCTCCTCTCTAATTATGGTCTTGTCGCTCATGACCTTCCTTCTCCCAGCCGAGAGTGGTGAGAAGGCCACTCTAGCTGTGATGGTGCTGTTGTCTCTCCTCATTCTCATGGTCTCTGTGTCAGAGAAACTGCCCGCTAACTCAAAAGATATGCCACTACTCAGTTAGTTATTAATATTGGAGTTTTAACTAAGTTAGTTACTTAGTTAGTTATGATCTTACAACACTTAATAATTTTTACAAGACTTTAATCCAACAAAAATTTCAAAGTTTTTTTGTTTAAAATATTTTATAAATCTGCAAAGCGTACAATTTGCGGGAAAAAAAAACAAAATAAAAAAAAAAGCATGACGCTATCAGAAAAAAATCGCAAAACGCTATCAAAGCATTTTATTTTTACTTAAGTTGAGTTATGTTTTGCGCGAAAAAACTACAACTCATTGAAAGGTAAGGTTCGTTTCTAAGAAACAAAAAAACTCATTTTATTTTATAGGCATTTATTTTGTGGCCAATATGCTAACAGTCAGCATCTCCATGGTCTTCTCAGTCGCCATTATCAACATGCACTTCCACGCTAGGGAGATGGGTTCGAACCCCGACAGGACCAAATCCGATTCTCAGTCCATGTCGTCCAGGGTAAAGCATGTGGCGTTTGATAAGCTGGCTCCTCATTTGGGAATAGATGCTTCAACTGTGGCTAACCAGAAAGATAGTTTAACTACTGCTTTCGGTAAGAAATTGATAGATGATATTAGAAAGATTTTTAAAAAGTTGAATTGTCCAATATTATAAATGTTGTAGATTTTATTAAAAATCTGCCTTTTTCTAAAATATTTGAGAAGCAAGAGAAAAAAGTGTCTTTAATGGTTTTTTTTCTGGATATAAGAACTTGACACAATCTTAAACTTTTTGACTATGCAATAGACGTTAACAATCAAGTTTACCGACATTTTTAAGAGGGGCAAAACTTACTTTGCTGTAGCTTTGTTTGTGTACGAAAGAGTACACATCCAGTATTCGTCCCGGATATATCGCTTAATTGACAGCCAGAAAAAATACGGTGAACTTTTTTAACTGCATAGAGTAAACCGAGAAAATTTTTCAAAAACCTTTGAAAGATCACAAAAGCCAAATGAATTTTTAATGAAAATCATAAGAATAAAAAGTTTTTGTGCATTCCTTGTCCGGGTATAGATTGTCCAGTTACTTCGGTCAACTCATTTGGCGAATTATGAAGTTTGGCTTGTGATTTTCCGTAAACTTACTCTGCGACAACGGATAATTTTGCACTTTTGCGACAGCGCAGAACAGATAAGAATCTCCAAAAAAACGTGATGAAAAATAGTTTAGAAAACTATTGTTGGAAAAAATTCGTATCTTATAGCTTTATTGTAAGGCAATTCACTATCTTGCGACTTTCTTATAAAAATATTCTTCAATTTTTAAAATTTTCAGAACCTAATTTTACAGGAAGCTGTAAGTTTCCTATAAATCAAGTTCTAAGATTGGGACTTTTTGCCAACCTGTGATCAAATCCAAGAATCATTGTGTAATTTTGCTTTTGTTAATTTAGGAATCATAAAGTAATCATAGGATGGGGGGAAAAGCTGCAACATTTTAAAGCTTTTTCTACATTGCAGCTTTTTTTTTTGCAGCCTTCATTTGTTTTTCTGCCGCTTCACGACCTCTAAAAAGCTAAGTCGCATCATTACGAGGCCAAACTGTGCACTGGATTGGCGCACAATTTTGTGTCTGTATACTCCTGGATTCCAGAGACAAGTCTTTGAGCATGTTAAAACTTTGCCGGAACGATCAAAGAAAATGAAAGAACAAAAGAAGAACAAAGGGAGCGTTCTTATTGCGGAATCCGCTTACAATTTACAAAATGCTCAGTTTGGCCTCGTAATGATTTTGTGTATTTTCTCCTCTCCAATTTTATATACTTCAAAAAAACGCATATTGGTTCAATTGTGGTATTTATATTAACGCTCTTTTACTTATGATTTGCACAAAAAAGAAGCTTTAAAATTCTGCGAAAAAATGTAATCGATTTTTCAAATTTTTGGGTACGTTTTCAAATTGGAAAACTTTGAAACTTTCATCTAACTGTTCATATTTCAAAAGTAAGAAACGCTTAATGGAAAACAGAGAAGACAGCTCGCTTTGCTCGCATAATTTTTCAAGTTCGAATTTCTTTTTTGACTGAAAATTGTTATAAGAAATTTTCTTTTTCTTATGTATGAAGTTTGCTTTTTCTTTAATTTCGAAACAGTGTCAAAAAATAGCCCGATGGAACAAAAATTCTACTAATTTGAAGCTCAACAAATATGTCAAGTTGATGGTTTTAGACATTTTAGATACTTTTGATATCAGAGCCATTGATTGAAAACGACCCCGCACTGTTAAACTTGAGATTTAAGTTCAATTAAATCGTTTTTTACACAGATAAAACGGTAAGAAACTGATTTACGAAAGCTCAATTAGATACGTAAAATGATTCAGGATGGATTCAATGGAATTTTAAAATGGCAAAAAAATCGACTTGATTGCCTAAAAAATGTAGACAAATACCGAATTAAATCTATTTAAAGCGTTTTTGTTCTTATTAAAAATTGTATGAATTGAAATCCAAACAAGACTGCTCGTATCAAGGCAAAGCCCTGAAAGTTCGTGAAGAGGTATATTGAGCGGTAATAATATGAAAAAAAAAACACATGTGATAATTAAAAAATGAAATTATTGTTAAAACGTTTGAGATTTTTTGTCAAAACTATCCCCCTACACGCCATATACAGTACAAAGTGATATATTTCGCTCCTAGATCAAACCCATTATGGCAAACAACCTTGCTTCAACCAGTTTGGAACAATTTTAAGACGGATTAATATCGCGCGTTAATTGCCCCAAATTGGCCAAAATGCCCAGCTGTAAAAAAATAATCAGAGGTGAAATATCTTTTCAAGTTTAAGCCCATGAAAACAATATCTTTTGAATGATAAAATTCGTCAGAAAATGGCTAGTTAAAAAGTCGAAGTTAGTCTGAAGAATAAACCCATCCCGAGCTCAAATAATCAGTAACTTTCGTTTAAAATGTCCGAACAATAAGCTGACAAAAATGGGTTTAAAATGGGCTTTTCAAATTACATTTTGAATCAAATTAATTCAAGTTTAAATCAAATCGAATCAGATGTTTTTGAGTCTTTGATCCATTTTTGTCAGTACGGGATGAGTCACTTAATAAAGATGCACGTATTTAATTCTAGGTATGAAAATAAACTGCAAAAGAATTTTATGTTTATACCACTATAAACCCCCCTCTCCCACCCAGCAAAAATTTAGCCCACGCCCTCAACAGTTGTTTTTGCACCAAACCGGCTCTTTTTTTCGCCCTTACTTGAAAATTTTTGTTTAATATTCTTTTACTTGCTATTATGACTGAGTGCCTATTTTCTTGCTATAAAGTATGAAAATCAAATTTGTTCAGAAACGTTGACTTGTTCGCCAAGCAATCCGAAAAATGGACTATATTTATTGAATTTTTTAAATCATTTTAATCCATTATAATAGATTATAATCAATTATATTGTATTTTTTGAGAAGAAATTATCAAAGTTATCTCATTACGTAATAACACGTAAAACATACTCAAAACTCGGTATTTTGAACAGGGGGGACTGGAAAAGAGCCCATTTTCCATTATAATCGAACATTATCCATGGAACTCCGGTGCGGGAAAATTTCATTGCATATGACACTGCTGAAATAGTTTTTCAGAACTGAATTTCGGAAAAGAGAAAATACTTTGTGTTAAGCATCGCGTTATATTTTTGCAATGTTATTCAATTAATCGGTGGTCCCATTTCAACCAAGAGTTTAATGTAAAGTTAGGAAAAAATGTTGATTTGTTTTAGGTATTCATAATCGTCCAGGTAACTTATAACAACTTAATATGATTGTTAACAAATTTAAAAAGTATGAAGGGTACTGCTATGCTCACTAACTATAAATTATTTGACAAAATTGCATATTTAATTGCAGGGGTGGATCTAGGATTTCTCTCGAGGGGGGGGGGGGGCGCAGGTGAAACTTTGAAAAAAAAAACAGTCCAAAAAAGTTATTTTTAGGCACTTTTTGGAAAATTTTGACCAAAAAAAGCGCCCCCCCCCCAAAAAAAATTAGTATATGTTGGCGCCAAAGGCGCCTTCAGAAAAATTTTAGGGTTGGTCGGCCAAAACTGGATTTCTTAAAAGTACCAAAGGGGGGACCCTTTGGGTCGGCAGGGGGTCAAATCCCTGAAGAAGAAACGTCCGCCCCCGCCCCCCTCCCCTAAATCTGCCCCTGTTTCAATGATTGGTTCCAGGTGAGTATTCATGAAGTATTCTTTCGAAATTGAATTCAAGGCTGTATTTCCGGCAAGAAAAATTCATCAATCATCGCTCAATTTTCCAAAAAGTTTGCAACAAGGTTTTTTGTTGGAGGGCAGATTTGATGTTCAGGATCATTAACTGGGGGGACTCGTTTAATGTACAAAATTCGTATATGCTTAACTGTTCTTTTCTTTCTTAATAGAGGGAGGGGGGATTCATTACAAGGTTCAATAGGGGAATAAATATTTAATAAGATCCACGCAAAAAGAGATGAAAGAGAATTTTGCTTATCATAATTTCTTTGAGTGCTTTGACAAGTTCTCTTATAAACAACTTCACCCCCCCCCCCCAAGCTCTCTCGAAGAAACTCTTGGACCATCCTCTGTTTCTATTTTAAAAACTCTCCTTTTATTTTTCCAGAGAACACTCTTGGGCCAGCACTGGCAATACACTCACGTGTCAGGAGCAGCTCCCTTCGAAACTCACTTCAACCCCGGACCCAATTTTCACCCAAAATCGCCCAAATAAAAGAAGACCCAATCGAAGTTATAATTGACAAACTCGCCGTAATAGAGCACTGTTCTTTGTACATGGCTAGTACTATTCATACTAGTTATAAAAGAGACGAAAAAAAAATGCAGTGGATCTTCATCGCCAAAATTGTGGATCGACTTTTGCTGATTGTCTTTTTGATTGTGTTTCTTTTGACGTCAGCAATGATTTTGGCATTCGAGTTTTATAATGATTATTCGAGTTAAAAATATTTAAAAAAACTGCAGCAAAACATAACTATAAAAACGCACTAAAATTTTGCTGATAAATTGAAATCTAAGTTTCTTTTAAAATGTTTCATTAAAAAATGACGCCAAAGATTGATGAAAAAGATTTAATATAATCGAGAATAATCTATTGAATTTCTTTTTTTATAGTTCACAGATTAAGCTGACAAATCATAATTGTTGGACAGATAAACATAGTCGCGAAAGTGTGACATAACCAAAAAAGGGTCTAAGCATAGTCGCAAGCGGAGTCGAAAGCAAAGTTATGACAAGATCGCGCAAAAATGTCCAACTTGTCTGCAAATCAAAGTAAATGTACACAAAAAGATTTAACCCACAGATTATGCCAAACTGTGTTTTTTGTGACCGGTAAGCGGGTTCCACAACATTTCTATGATTCTTCGATCTCTTATGCTGTTTTGCGAAATCCGCATTAAAATTTGTGGAATCCAGGACAGTTTGTGAAATCCGCAAACAAAAAATAAAACAATTGTTCGGTAAAATTACGCTGTCGTGGAATCCGCAACTGTAAGCGGAATCCGCAAATTGTAAGCAGAATCCGCAAAATGTACGCGTTATCCGCAAGTTGTAAGCAGAATCCGCTTATAATTGCGGAAAACACTTAAACTTGCGGAATCCGGAACAACTAGCTATAATAACTCGTTGCGGAATCCGCGATAAAGCTAATGTGCCGACAAAACTTACGTTGCCACCATTTTGGGCGCAGATTCCAGTTCAAGCTTGTAGGTGAAATCCACTTACATTCTGGAAAAGTTTAAGGACTTGTCTTTGTAATCCAGTGATGTACAGACACCAAACTGTGCGCCTATCCAACAGTTTGGCTTCGTAATGCATGATAAAAAATAAAAAAAAAACATTTTCTATGATAAATTCAGAAATTTTCTTAAAACCTGAGCAAAGGATAACTATAATCTAAAAAATTTAGCATCAAAAGTTGTATCGAAAGCTTAGTATCAAAACCTTAGTATCGAAATTTTAGTAAATTTCTCGATTCTTTAATATCAAGGGCCTCAGACATACCTTATACTCAAATTGCTTCAAAAAAATCAACTGATTGCTGGCTCGGCCCCGAGTTGGCTGTAAAAAGAAGCTCATGAACAATAATTAGGAGGACATTGAGTTCTCACATGCACATTGTGTTCACGATAAGAGTCTATTTTAATTACTGAGATAGTTTGTGGTACATTTTGCCTTTACTAAAAAAAATTAACAGTTCGTACATTAGAAAGTTGATATAAATTATCCGGACAACACGTATTTATCTTGAAAACTGCAACGCATTTTTCTCAACTGATGCTATTTGATTTGCGAAATTTGGATACCAACTTTTTCCCCGAAAGTATCTTTTGGTTCTTTTCGGTCAAAATTAAATTTACATGAAAACTATCGGTTCAATTACTGACAAAAAATTATATCAAAATGAGACACTTGGAAGACTAAACAAAATAGACTTCACTAATAATCTTCGAAAATTTGGCTTTTTTGAATGTTTTTTATTCAAAGAAATGTATTAGTTTAAAAAATGGTGTTTTGAATAGTAGAATTGGCATTTCTTGGATTTTTTTAACAAAATTTTTGAACAAAACTGTATAAAATGCAAATTTTTGCTACAAAAAGCCCACTTTGACATAGTTTTGTCGGTAATTGATCTACTATTTTTGGCTTGATTTGTAATTCACTAAAAAGCCACCAAAAACGGTAGTTTTTGGGATAAAAGTTTGGGCCCGACTTTAGTAAACGAAAATTGTATCCTACTACACTGCCGAAACTCGAAAAAACATTTGTTTTCAAAAAATTTTAAACTAAAGGTAACCCCGTATCAGAAAAACGCGTATTAATTTTCAAACGTTATTTGTTTCGTCCGGATGTTTCAAGTCTGCAAAGTTTTGGTTTTTGCAAAAAAATTGAAAATAATCAAAAACTACATAGAACCAAAAATAGCAGGTTGCTGCAAAAAAGCTTAAAAATTACCCTAGTGCAGCTTCCAATGGAAAATCAACAAACTGTCTTTTTTTGACACTGACTTTTTTTGTGTAATCACTTGCGCAGCTTCAAATCAAGTCATCACACATAAGATAAGCAACTCCTTCAAAACAACGACGGCTTCAAATATAAACAGCTCTAGAAAACTTTTTAAAAGTTTCCAAACTTCCGCTGGCAGTTCTTATTTTCAAAAAATCTTTGGGAGACTTCAGCTTTAAATGTTAGCAAAATGACAAGAAATCAGTGATGACATTGATAGTCAGTTTATGAATTCGCATTTTTTCCGAGGGATGAGAATTTTGCTCATTGTACAACTCGGACGGTAAATCTTGAAACAATTTTGCAAACTCTAGCAGGAAGTAGAAGAAGCACGTAAAATTTTTTCTAATTACCTATAAATTATGCCTTTTGCGCAAATTACTGAAATTGCATACTTTCACTTTTTTGCCAAAAATTTAATAGACAGGGGTTGAAAAAACTTCTGACCTCTGACAACTTACACAATTTATTTTTCAATTTAAAATGCTATTCTACTTGTTTGGAAAAAAAATTGATGAATATATCTCTAGAAGTTTTGCGCAAAAATTGATGTACTTATCCTTAGAAAATTCATGCAAGTTTTTATGTTTTCATCGCTTGAGGGAAAACAAATTCCATCAATTTTGCTTTAAGATTTTGCAGAGTCTCTGCTAGCGAATAACAGAAGCTTCAAAAAGAACTGACATACCACAAAATCATTTGATTGCAGAATCAAGCTTATTTCAAGCAAATGGAAAGCAAATCTTGCAAAAATATTGCAAAATAGATGCAACTTTTGTCAGAAAATTTGAGAACTAAACATTTTGTGCAATATATTTTACAAGACTTGTGTTTCGAGAACAATGGGACATACTGTCTTCCCCTTTCTTCTCAGCGCGCCACAAAGAGTGCGGTAAACACAAAACTATTTTAAAAAATCAGGTCGAGAAAGTTTTGCCTCATTTTTTGCTGGTTTTGCATTGTTTCTGAATAAAAATTGAGCTCTTACAAAAACTTTGAGATCAATTAGAAAATGTAATTTGAATTAATTGGAAAATTGAAAACTGATCAAATTTTTTGGCGAAATACTAATTCAAAGAGCAAAAAAAATATATTCAATATTCAAACTTTTTCGGCTGCTCAACATCCAGCAACTTTTTAATCCAGCAACCTAAGCATGTTTTTGCTGAAACGAAAATAAAAACATTGTTTACCGACGCTATCGCAGTTTCAATATAGAAAAAAAAAATTGATATTGGTGGGACTTCGAAGCCTATCATGCGCAAGATTGTTCGTTAGAAAAAACCTTTATATATATATATTTTATTTTTTTCATCCCATAGCTTGACATTTCTAAAGTAATTTTTAAATGCAGTATTAGAAAAACACCATTGGTTAAAGCTCAGCGATATGTTAAGCCCAGAACTGCATAAAATGTTCTGGGATTCAGGTTTCAATCGATTATTCTGAAGAAATTTAGTTCGTTTGTCACACCTTTTGTGTTTCACAAGATGTCCGGATGCTCTAAAGTTTTACCAGTAGAATCTGAACAATCTGTTGTTTTTGCTTAACTTTGAATCTTACTTAGTAAACGCTTTTGTTGATACTTAAAACAAGTGTTTTGGAATTTTTTTAAGCTAAAAGCAACTTTTTTAATCACAAAAAATTGAAGGGCGTTTCACTTACAGAAAGGGAGATAGTCAAATTGAAACAAAAAAAAAACGTTATTTTATTTCTAATATAAGTTTTCGGCTAAATTTTATATTGTGAAGTTTGTATTTTTATTAAAGTTTCAAACCCGCTACTGTGCAGAAATAAGCTTTCCGCCTGATTTTTTAGTTTTACTCAGCTAAATCCTCTTTAATTTTCTTTTTATAAGACAAACAGTTTCAAAATTTTTGAATTCAAATGCTTGTAATAAAATTTACGCTATCAGGTAGTAACAAAATATTGATACAACTTAAAGAATTATATTTAAAGCATTTTTTTTAAACTAGCATGGGTTGCTTTTTGTTGTTTTTGTGCTCCAAACCTGGCAGATTCTGTGCTGTTGCCTTACCCAAAGCTACTTCTAATGATGTTTTTCTCAATTCAGTTGCCTTGTTTAAGATTAATTGAAAAATTATTTTTAAAATACTGTGAAAAAAATCACCTTTTATTCGGTTCCCTTGCGGTAGAATTGTTTGTTTCAACTTTTGAAAAAAATGGCGGTGTTTTTGTAAACTTTTTTGATTAATTAGCTAGCTTTTTCAACGTAATCTACGAATAATTTAAAGTAAACTGATATTCCTAGCTCAAAACAAGAAAGATAGTTTGCTCTCGTTTTCATCAAATGAAAAAAAGCTTTCATTAATATCTCTTTATTTCTCTTTTTATTTTCTGGTTGCAGGACATTAAGAGAGAAACGAGAAAGCGCAGTACTGTTGCAAAACTAGAACAGTACCCTCCAGTAATGTTTTTGTTGATAGTTTTTTTCCTGCAATAATACTGGAATTTTGTAATTTTCCAATTGATTTCAAAGTTTTTGTTATGTGTTGTTACCATCGGAAAAATCTCTCTCATGGCTTTAAATTATCAAAAAGATGCTAAAAACAGTGTAAAATTTTATTTTTTTTTTCGAGACAAAAATGGAAATGGGTTAGCACTGAGAGTTATAAGAATAGGTTTGCTTGGCATTATCTGATTGTCTGGCATTGCCTGATCGAACCATTCTTTTTCGGACCCGTATTGGTGCTAATGATCGAACCATACGTGAGAAGCCTTAGAAATATTCTGACTCAGTACCGAACCAATACTGAAATTTTTTAGTCTGATTTTATCCTTGATCAGCCCTTTCGTATTAACCATTAACCATTTTTACTGGAAAAAGCAACCGGGATAAATTTCAACCTACAGTAAATCATATAGCGAGTTTTAGAGAGTCTGCCTAAAATAAAACAAGACTGCTCGTATCAGGG